AACCCGACGCCCGTGTTATTGTATCCTTCGGCGGGGATACTATGGTTTCATGTCTCCCCAGCCGCCGCCGCCGCAGACAATTTCCCTTCCGCTCTATAACTCGACCCCTAAATTGATTTAGCGCTACAAAACTTGGTATACTTACACATCTTGGGGAGAAGGTGCGTGGTGTACCAAAACCAGGTCACTGCGACCTTTATTTGACCTTTACCTTGACCTTGATCATATTTCCCTTCCGCTCTATAACTCGGCCCCTAATTGATATAGCGCTACCAAATTTCGTATACTTACACACCTTGGGGAGAAGGTGAGCAGCGTACCAAAACCAGGTCACTGCGACCTTTATTTGACCTTTACCTTGACCTTGATCATATTTCCCTTCCGCTCTATAACTCGGCCCCTAAATTGATTTAGCGCTACAAAACTTGGTATACTTACACATCTTGGGGAGAAGGTGAGCAGCGTACCAAAACCAGGTCACTGCGACCTTTATTTGACCTTTACCTTGACCTTGATCATATTTCCCTTCCGCTCTATAACTCGGCCCCTAATTGACCTAGCGCTACCAAAACCAGGTCACTGCGACCTTTATTTGACCTTTACCTTGACCTTGATCATATTTCCCTTCCGCTCAATAACTCGACCCCTAATTGACCTAGCGCTATCAAACTTGGTATAACTTACACATCTTGGGGAGAAAGTGAGCAGCGTACCAAAACCAGGTCACTGCGACCTTTATTTGACCTTTATCTTGACCTTGATCATATGTTACTTCCGCTCTCTAACTCGGCCCCTAATTGACCTAGCGCGACTAAACTTGGTATACTTACACATCTTGTGGAGAAGGTGTGTCGCGTACCGAAACCAGGTCACTGCAACCTTTATTTCACATTGACGTTGACCTTGACCTTCATCAAATCTCCCTTCCGCTCTATAATTCGGCCCCTAATTGACCTAGCGCGACCAAACTGTATACTTACACATCTTGGGGAGAACACGGGATATACATGTAGTTGGCGACAACTGCCCTTTCTAGTTCTTGTTATGGGAAGGTGATGCGGATGGGAATATTTCTGATGTAGGAGGAGATTAATGATAGTATAACGGTGTGACTTGTATGGGAATGCCCGGAATGGTCGTTACTGATAATACAGAGGAGCTAGCGGGAGTAATAAGTCGGTTATAGGATTCATATAATGATATTAAACTGATATAAGGGAGTTGGCGATGTGGGGAGGGGTTGTTTATATTGTGGAGGGCACCAATGGTTAGTGTAAGAGGTTTTTTTCCGGGAGGGGGCTGCGTAAGCTCGTGTGTATATCCGCGCCAAGTTTACACTCATCGGTCATGCTATGCATAAAAATCGAGCAGACGTCTTAACTCTCCTATTTAGGAAATTATATATCCCACATTTCAAAATATTTTGTAAACTTTCCCAATGTTTGTCAGTTTATCATCCGTTCAAAAATATGTCTTCGTGTCTGGTTTTGACAGTGTAAGTGTATCTCGACGCGTACGCAATGTTGATGGTCGCAGACGATACAAATAAACCACCTTTATTTCTTCATTTTTATTGTTTGTTTGTTTTTTTCGTTTTAAAAAAGGCGGAAATTAGTATTACAAACGGTTTACCACTTATTGTCTGCTTATTATTGTATTACTTATTATTATTATTATTATTGTACCACTTATTATTATATTTTTGCGAGAGCTTACTTAGGGACGATACCTAATTGACAATTGGTTTTTAATTTAATAAATGTAAATAAGGACAAGTGAGGATGCAACGTCTAGAAAATTACGCATGTATCAAAGTATAGGAATGATAGGATCTTCCAACTGCGAGCATTCGCCGTCAGATCCACAGCAGATCGTACTATCGATGCTAATATGTACGTGCATGCGTGCGTGCATGCGTTCGTACGTGCGTGCGTGCGTGAATGCGTACGTGCGTGCGTGAATGCTTACGTGCGTGCGTGAATGCGTACGTGCGTGCGTGAATGCGTACGTGCGTGCGTGAATGCGTACGTGCGTGCGTGAATGCGTACGTGCGTGCCTGAATGCGTACGGGCGTGCGCGCGTGCGTACGTGCGTGCATGCGTACGTGCGTTCGTGCATGCGTGCGTTTATGCGTACGTGCGTGCGGGCATGCGTACGCGCGTGCATGTACGTACGCGCGTGCATGCGTACGTGCGTGCGTGCGTGTGTGCGTGCGTGTGTACGTGCGTGCGTGCGTACGTGCGTGTCTGCTTGCGTGCGTACATATGTGCGTGCATGCGTACGTGCGTGCGTGTGTGCGTGCATGCGTACGTGCGTGTGTACGTGTGTGCGTACGTGCGTGCATACGTGTGTGCGTACGTGCGTGCGTGCGTGCGTACGTGCGTGCATGCGTACGTGCGTGCATGCGTACGTGCCTGCATGCGTACGTGCGTTCGTGCATGCGTACGTGCGTGTGTGCGTACGTGCGTGCGTGCGTACGTGCGTGCGTGAGCACGTACATGCGTACGTGCGTGCGTGCGTGCGTGCGTGCATGCATACGTGCGTGCGTACGTGCGTGCGTACGTGCATGTGTGCATGCATACGTGCGTGCGTGCGTACCTACGTGCATGCGTACGTGCGTGCGCGCATGCATACGACGTGCGTGCGTGCATGCGTGCATGCGTACGCGTGTGCGAGCGTTCGTACGTGCGTTCGTGCATTCGTACGTGCGTACCGGCATGCGTGCATTCGTACGTGCGTACCGACATGCGTTCGTGCGTGTGTGCGTGCATGCGTGTGTGTGTGACACGTGGCATTGACCAGTGTCATACTGTAGAAAATAGACGTTTTGTGTGTCCTCACATTGTCATTATGATGTTGATTACACAATATGATATAGCAATAAAGCAATAATAATATAGCAATAAGTACACAAGGAAAGAGACTCACATGTCTAGTGTGCGTGTGGA